ATATATATATATATATATATATATATATATATATATATATATATATATATATATATATATATAACTTCATTAGTGAAATAACAATGAATATGTTAAAATTGAGTTTATTTTGAATAAAAAACTTATAGATCTATAGCAGAAAAAAATTAAAATATAAAATCTTTTATGGAAAATAAAACCTAATTTATTTGTTGCTAACCTGCTTAATCTTTAAAACAATTAACAAGTAAAAGTTGAGTTTTTATATTTAAATAAAAAAAGTTTAGCTTAATTATAAAAATAAAATCGAAATATAAGGTTTTTTGTGGATTTTTTAATCATTGTTTTGTACTTTTTAGATAGATTATTGTGAGAAAAATAGATTATTATTATTATTTTTTTGAATAAACATGACAAGTTTGCATGTAAAAGATAAATTAGTGTACATTTGAATTTATTACACATCTTTTATGGCATGGACCAACAAATACTTTTTCACTACTTTAGAAACCTAGTGGACCCTAAGTATGTCTCAGTGGTTGCCCCACCTCAACTTACAGTCTCTAAAAATGTTAACAAGTTACCCTTCTAGTAATAGTAATGAACACATTTGGTCCTTTGTCCTTATTAACTACTTATGATTTACATCTGACTTGCATAAATCCTATCTAACCGACTCTTTTTCCTGACCCCCGTTCAGTGATGAATGTGATTGAAAATTTATCGTTACAAGTTACAAAAACAAGAAGTATGTATGACTATAAAATGTATCTTCACATATTAATTTGAAAAGGAAAAACAATATATGTAAACTACAAAAATACGATTATAGTGTATGTTTAAACGTCACCTTTATAATGACATGTCTTGTTCTATTACAATACTATATGACATTGTTTTATATCAGTCACGATCATATCAATATACAACCAAAATGTTTGTCGTGTTTCATTTTCTGTAATGGCTTTTTCTATTAAATAACATTAAATAGTAGCTTGCAAATACGTATATTGATTTATGGATATAGGAATTATTTATTTTGTCTTCGTTGAATAGTCTGTAATTATTTAACAAATAGTTGAGATATTTTTCTAACTTATACAGATAAACGTTTGAATAAAATTTAACAAATAGTTGATTTTGAGTTTCAAAAAAAAAAATTAAACACAAAAAAATTGTGACGTTATATGTACGCGCTTAATCCGAGAGTGGGCTTAATGTATCCCTTTCTTTCCTGCAGACAAGAAGGAAATACAGTTTGGGATGTCAAACAAACTCCTCACTTCTCGTTTGAAGTAACACTGAATTACAAAGTAGTCCCTCTACTTTCAAAGCAATTACAAATAAAACCATATAGTCATTTTATTTTAAACTAAATCAAGTTGTAAGCGAGTATATTTGAAGTCTAAGCCCTAGAATGCTCAATTATGTAAAATAATTAGGGTTTGGTTGTAACCTACAAACCTTAAACTTCAAACATTGTTTGATATAAACAAACATGTATCAAACTAAACATAACATGTACAAATTTAAAATGTATAATTTATGAGTCCATTTAATTTAAATACACTAGTCTATTCAATATATAACTTATGATTTGTTATGAACTCGTATGAATGGTTTATATTTCTTATAGTTTATATTTGTGAACACCTTTAAAGTAGAAGGTCATTAAGAAAATTGCAAGCCAACTAAACCCAACCAATTAACTCTAGTTAAATTTTGTCTTACCCTAGTCAAATCAAGCAAAACAATTATCCTTAATCTCAAAATCTTAATCATATATTGGAGCTTTTTGTTCTTATTAGTTAAAAAGACTTGTTGCCTTGCTTTTAGAGCTCTCACATTTGACTTCCACCTTAGCACTCACTCTTTTCCTCTCTCTCTCTCTCTCTCACGATATTTTCAAATTCTCACGATATTTTAAATACGCTCTTACCTTCCATGAAATTGAAATCTGCTCAGCTCATGACAGAGAATAAGTAAAATGTTATTTTAATCAATAAATAAATAAAAGGGTATTTAAAACCAGTTTAAAAAGGGAAAAAGGATTGCTTCCTTTAAGATCTTTGTTGTTATGCTGGCTTCTGAAGATACAACAGAGTTTCTTCAGATCCGAAGAAAAAGGTAAGAAGGAAAATACAATTTTAAATCTTTTTTTAACCCACAAACAACAAGATAAAATTAATTTACACACACAGTGTGTGTAAGAGTTGTACTAGTAATACAATATTATATGTGTATATATATATATACACATAGAGAAACAGAGAGAGAAAAAGAGAGAGAAAGAGAAAGAGATATCTGTGTATAAAGCTTGGACTTTTTGTAGTGATCCAAAAGAGAGTCCTAGAGAGAGAAGAAAAGAGAAAAGAGGAGAGAGAAAAGCATTGAATGGATCTTTTTCTTGTGAAATCTTTGTTGTGGGTTTGAATGCATGAGTGTGTGGGTTTTTTCTTTAGTGGGGATGTTGATGATGGACTTGTTCTTGACTCTGGTGAATATTCTATCAAGATATTGACCAGGAAAAGAGCAAGAAATCGGTTAATTCATGTGGGTTTTCCCCCTTTTTCGTCTCTGAATTAGTCTTCTATTTATCTTTCGATTTTTGGATAAAAAGTTTTGATCTTTGAAGTCGAGAAAGAATAGGGTTTATGAGATTCAAGATTTTGTTTGAAAGTATTAAAATTCGGTGATTTCGAGAAGACAATGAGAGTCTACTCTGAAGATTATTAGTTCTATTATTCAGGCTCTGTTCATGCAAGTTTTTAGGGCTTATCCACGGATTCTTTGGATTTATCTGAAGATTTTTGAGGTAAACAAAGACAAAGATATTATCTTTAATCAATATGAATTTATTGTCTTCTTGATTGTATGTTGTTTGATTAATCTCTTTTAATGTTTATGGTATTTGATTACAGCATTTACTCTGAAAGGGGTTATAACATCATATGAACTGAAGCGTTGTTTGGGGAATTTATAGAAGCTTGATTGAAAACAAGAAAAAAAAATGATTACTTTCATGGATTCAAAAGAGAAATTGAAAGAAACTGAGAGATGCTTAGATTCTCAGTTATGGCATGCGTGCGCCGGAAGCATGATTCAAATGCCGGCGGTGAACTCGAAAGTGTTTTATTTTCCTCAAGGCCACGCCGAGCATGCCACCGGAAATGTCGAATTCCGGGAGCGAAACAGTCAGTCGAGGGTTCCGGCGTGGATCCCATGTCGAGTTTCTTCTGTTAAATTCATGGCGGATGTAGATACCGATGAAGTTTATGCAAAAATCAGGTTGATTCCGGTGAGTGGTTCCGGCGAATTCAGTTCTTTTGATGATGAAGATACGAGTTCTCAGAACGGCGGAGGATCATCGGAGGGCCAAGTTAAACCGTCGTCGTTTGCAAAGACATTGACACAATCTGACGCCAATAACGGCGGCGGGTTTTCCGTTCCAAGGTATTGCGCCGAAACGATATTCCCACGGTTAGATTACTCAGCGGACCCACCGGTGCAAACCATTCTCGCTAAAGATGTTCACGGCGACACATGGAAATTCCGGCACATCTACCGAGGAACTCCACGGCGGCATTTACTCACCACCGGATGGAGCACATTCGTGAACCATAAGAAACTTGTCGCCGGAGACTCCATTGTTTTTCTTAGAGCTGAAAACGGCGAACTCTGTGTTGGAATCCGACGAGCCAAGAGGGGAATCGGCGGTGGACAGGAAATCTCCTCGGGGTGGAATCCGGCAGGCGGCAACTCTGTTATTCCGTATGGTGGATACTCCCCGGTGATGAGAAACGGAAACGGAAACGGAGGTGGGAATCCGTTCGGGAAGGTGAAAGTGGAAGCCGATTGTGTAATCCAAGCTGTAAAACAAGCAACCACCGGAAACCCATTTGAAATCGTCTTCTACCCAAGAGCAAGTACGCCGGAGTTTTGCGTAAAAGCTTCCCTCGTGAAGAACGCAATGCAGATCCGGTGGTCTCCGGGGATGAGATTCAAGATGCCATTTGAAACAGAAGATTCTTCACGAATCAGTTGGTTTATGGGAACGATTTCTTCAATCCAGGTTTCTGATCCGATTAGGTGGCCCGATTCCCCATGGAGACTTTTGCAGGTATCACATCATTTATACATAAATCACCACTAACTTTTACTTCATTGTTAAAAAGTTGATTGAAGTTGTGAATTTTAAATTTAGGTGACATGGGATGAGCCGGATTTACTTCAAAATGTGAAACGAGTGAATCCATGGCTGGTGGAATTGGTATCAACAATGCCGGCAACCATTCATATGTCACCATTTTCACCACCTAGAAAGAAATGTAGACCCACCCAACACCCGGATTTTCCACTCGACCCGCAAATCCCGATTCCCGCGCTTTGTGGGCCCCACTCGCACCTATTTGGTGGGCCCACAACCGGCCCATTCGGTTACCATCTCCCGGATAATTTGAACTCTCATCATCCTGCTAGCATGCAGGGAGCCAGGCACACGCGTTATGGTTTATCTCTCTCAGATATCCAACTCAATAACAAACTAAACTCGGGGTTTTTCCCAACCACAAAACCGCTAATCAACCCGTTTCCAAACAAACCCTCTGGGCCTGGATCTGGATCCGAGCCCGTTTCGTGTCTGTTAACCATAGGGAACTCGGTTTCAAGCTCGAAAGAGCCTGAAACCCCTAAAAAGTCTCGGTTTTTACTCTTTGGTCAACCGATTTTAACTGAGCAACAGATTTCCCAAAGTGGGCCCGGGTCAGGGCCAGGGTCTACCTCTGGCCTTTCGCCAGGACAAAACCTAGAGAATGACCTGAACATGGAGACAGGTCATTGCAAGGTTTTTATGGAGTCGGAAGACGTGGGTCGCACCCTTGACCTCTCTTTGCTTGATTCGTATGAAGAATTATGTCAAAAATTGGGTAATATGTTTAAAACCGGAAGCTCTATAATTATGAACCGTGTTCATTATTGGGATGTCAAAGGAACCCTAAAACATATAGGAGACGAACCATTTGGGTAAGATTATAAATTTGTTTTCCCAATTTCTCTTTATTTTGCATAATTTTAGTCTTAAAAGTCTTGCCTTTTTTGTGTGTTTTGTAGTGAGTTTATGAAGACAGCAAGAAGGCTAACGATTGTAACGGATTCAAGCAATGGAAATTAACCACGGTTATAATTAGTTGATGTTTTTTTTTTTTTTTGGAATTTTAAAGAATGTATAGTGATTAATTTCCTTTTTGTTAAGACGTATGTTTTTGGTTAAATTTGGTTAAATTTGTGGGTATTGAATTCCCTAAATTAAAATGAAACTTATTACTCCTGCAAAGATTTTGTTGTTGGAGTTTTGTTAAGTGTTTGTGGATATTTTTGAACAGTTTTTATTGTAGTTGTACATTAATATTTTATGATGTGTGTTAAAAAAGTCACTATTAGAAGCAGCAAAAGTTGTTGAGGACAAAATTTAAATAAAAAGTAGGAATTTCGTGCACGCTTGGGAAAAGCAGGAAAAAGCCAAAAAAAGAATTTGATGTTAATAAATAAATAAATGGTCAGAGAAATAGACCAATGATCAAGGATTAGGTTCTATCTTAAGTTCCTTTAAAAAAAACCATTTATTTGGTTTTTTATCGGCCGTTCAAAAAAAAATTGGTTTTTTAGAATAATATTATAGAAAATACATTTTTAAATTTAGTTTATGGTCATGTGTAAAACAATATTTATAATATAAAACTAGACATTTTTAACAAAGTAATTAACCTTACAAGACTTTATGCGTGGAATTATAAGATCATTGTTTAATACTTGATTATTTTGACCTATGAAAAGGTCAAATATGGGTGTTAATCATACTGTGAGGTGAACAAGTTTTTTCATAATAAACATTAAAATCTATATTATTCATTACAAACACCTTCAACTTGGTGCTCATAAATAAAACTATCATGCAATATAATGGAAGGATTGAAATAGATAAACACAATCGGAAAAAAAAAAAAGTAACTCGCAGAACAACAACAATATTTTAGGCTTACTGGTATTCAAATACATGGTCTACTATGTGAAATTCTACACTTTAACTGTTACATTCCCATTGCGATGACTATAATTCTTACATATGGTTGGCAATTAGCTAACATAGGTTCAAAAGCAATGGATATTCTTGAATATGAACCATGAAATAGGTTTTTGCAATAAACTACTTACAGATAACATGAATGATTATATATCAAGAAAAATAATCAAGTGTGAATTAGACAAAAAAAAAGGAAAAACCAAGTATGAAGGGGTGAAATGACAATAAGTGAAAAGTAAAAGGGGTGTAGAAGAATAAGTAAAAAGCAAAGGTCACATGGTAGACCAAATATTGTTCCAAACATTGAATGAATGTCCCATTGAAGTGCCGCAAGAGTTGGCCTTGTTTTAATTCCCTATTACTATATTACAATTTAACCCCTCAATCTCTCTAATTAATTAAATCTAATATTAATTAATTTATACTACATAGAGCATTGGGATTAACACAAATATTCAATTTCTTTCCTCAATTTCTGAACTTCACAAAACACTAAGTCAACAAAAAGCTGGAAACAAGAAGAAACTCTATTTTTTCTTGTATTAAACACATCATTTACAAAGACAAAACCTTAGAAAAATTAATGTTTAAAAAATGAGTCTGCTTATTATCTATTTGTTAAATAAACAAAAAATACTTAGGTATTATATTTGAAAATTGTTAAGTATAAAACAACTAATAAACTTTTTTTATCATTTATGTACAAAAAGAATACACTACTAATAACATAAGAAGATAGTATTTGTATGGTGGGAATAATATAATGAGCACACGTGAAGATGAAAAAGAAGGACAAGAACAATAATAGTCTCACGTGTGGGACGCGTCACCTTACGTCATCCAAGTAACAGAGGAGTGTGTTGCGCCGTTTTGATGATCGGGCTGTTTTTTTCTCCTTTGACCATACTTATTTGCTATTCCCATTTTCATTATATATATA